AACACCAAACATTTGAATGGTTAACTCCAAACAAGCTAGTGCCTGTGTAATCTCCTTATTAGCCACTCTTATCAAGCAGCTTCTCGTATTCAGTTCATTAACTCGTGCTCCATTTGTATCTCCTTGTGCTGTGTGTTCGCACAAACGTGGTAGGAATGTAGCCGGTATTTATTTGGTGCTTGGGAAAGTGTCAGTTATTGTGCTCTGAGTGCCCCTGGAAGGCCGTGATTCGATTATGTCCAATACTTGTTCCACTATCACCTGGAACCACTCTCCTCGCCATTTGTTGGCGTGAGTTCTTTCAGCTTCTGCTATGTTACTCTACTAATTACTGCATTTCCACTGAACTAATCGCATATCAGCAAATTCGTGAAAGGAAATTTAAATTAAGTCACAGTTTGACAAATTATTGTTATTATTGTCAAGGGCTATCCACCTGTAACTATCTGTTAATGACAGAAAACATCATTGCCGTTGTGATTTTTAGTTAAAAAATTGTAGAAGAAAACTTTTTTGATATGAACAATTTTCGTAATTTGAAGCAAAGATCGTAATTTTTCTTTTTGAATGCTTAAGTATACCAATATGCTACCAATTACACATTGAAAAATTTCTAAATAATGCTTAATAACAAAGTTGAAATTTGATCTTCAACTGTTAATATCTTCAGGGAATACAGTAACATAGCAGCGGCTGAAAGAACTCACGCCAACAAAGGGTAAGGAGAGTGGTTCCAGGAAGATAGTAAACGATTCGGGTTCCAGGCACAGAAAAGACGTATTGGACATAACCGAATCAGAACCTTCCAGGGGCACTCAGAGCACAATAACTGACACTTTCCCAAGCACCAAATAAATACCGAGGAAGGGCTACATTCCTACCACGTTTGTACGATACACACAGTACAAGGAGCACTCACCTGTACAAATGGAGCAGGAGTTAATAAACTGAATACGAGAAGCTGCTTGATAAGTGAGGATAATAAGATTACACAGGCACTAGCTTGTTTGGAGTTAACCATTCAAATGTTTGGTGTTGTATGGTTTATTTTTAAACACCAATATTCGCGGTTATGAGAACAGGTTGACATTTCGTCAACCAATCTTCTTGAATTTACCGTTTATCCTTGTATATCGTATTGTCAGTCTGTATAATTCCATGGTTACCGGAGTTTTAAATAATTACGAATCCACAGCTATTTGCGCAATTTTAATTAGGCATATTACCTTGAAAAACATTGCTGCCGTATTTCTGATATAGTTTTTTTGCAAATTTCTCAGTTTTTAATAACAATTAATTTATTTTACTATTTTTTCT